GGGGGGATTGGGATAAATAATAGTATAATTCGTGTAAAGATTATGGAATTAGAGAATTTAGTGTTACTACGGTAACATTATCTTCCCCTTCGGAAGGCTGAGCTCCCGCGAAGTTTAGATACCATTTAACACTTCAAGGAATTCGCTATTCCTCAGTCTTCCGATCTCGAATGGCGTCACTTCTATGCTTCGTTGTAGTCGATTTACATCTCTCTTGGTAAACAATTGCCAAGTACGCTTAGCAATTCTAAGATGGTGATTCAAAGTTCTAACGCCACTTTCTCTTTCTACATTTTGTTTTAGGGTCGTCATTCTTCGTTTGTAGGTTTGCGGCACTCGTTCGTAAAGTCGCCCAAGTTGGTAATATTTTTGCAATTGCCTTGCATTATGATCTCGTTGTTCGATAATGTCTTTGACTATTTGAATAACCTGTGCTTTCCATTCGATAGTTCGATCAAAATAGTAATTTCCAAATCCGGAATATCTATCGAGTTCGTTATTCTGGATTTCGACAATCATCTTGCTAATTCTAGCTCGTGCTTGAGTATTGTGTTGCGGCCCGTCGTGATTCATCTCGTAGGTGTAAATTTGTCCGTTGGGTTCACGAATTAGGAATCGTTCGGTATTAATGTCGATACTTCCGGTGAAGCTTTGTTCATCCATAATTCTGGAAATTCGCTGAATGGATTCGATTGCCTCGTTGGTGAGGTATGCAAACAAGTTAGCCATGGTAATAGTTATGACTTATTACGACGATCGTTATTGTAATTTATTGTATTTCCGATTTTCTTTTCTTTTTTTTTTTTTTTTATTCTCTACCCGTTTATATAAAGAAGTTGTTTTTACTAATTTCGTAATAGTAATGTAGATCTGATAACCACATTACCCGTGGTCTATTCGAATCTGATTGGTTGGGGAAGTTAATGTCTATCATTAGGAATATTAGATTCGTGGTTAATAGATAATCTCTTTTTCATAATATTGTTTTAGTTGTTTGCCATTTATGGCTCTTTTTAATAGTTGATCTCGTTGATTTCGTAATTTGTAGGCGCCGTTTCCGAAACTCTCCTGAACATAATACCATTCGCTACTCCATTGTGGACTAAATTTATTGCCGTGAGTTGCATGTCGTTTCATGTCGTAGATTAGTACTTTATCGCCAATGGAAAAAGGTTCGTAATTATTCAGTTGGGCATTGTGTCGTTCTTGATATTGTTGTTGTTTTTCCTCGATATTTTGTCTAACTTCTCGTTGTTTTTTTGGTAATTGTTCGATTAATGAGAAGATTCGTTGTAATATCATATCGGGGGTCGTTTCTTCTACTAGTGATGCGTCGTCTATAGGAAGTCGTGGGTCTCGTCCGTATATGAGAAAGAATGGTTCGTGTTTGGTGGTGGAATTCCGCAATGTCCGACAAGCGAACAAGGCCGCGGAAATATATTGATCCCAGTCGTTCTGATAAGCTATGCAATACTTCTGTAGTACGCCACAGATCGTACGATTGAATCGTTCTATTATTCCGTTCGTTTGGGGATGATATGGAGAGGAGAATTTCTGCTTTATTCCGAATCGTCGCGTTAATTCCTGAATAATCTGGGCGGTGAATTCGGTTCCATTGTCCGATTGTAATTCTTTAGGACATCCGTGTCGGCAAACCACGTCTTCGAAGATAAACTTAGCGATCGTTGTAGCTTCCTTGTTGGGAATGGCCTTAGCCTCTGGCCAACGCGTGAAATAGTCGATTGCGGTCACTATGTATCGGTTTCCTTCTTTGGTAATTGGACAGGGTCCCACGAGATCGATCACGACTCTTTCGAAGGGGTATCCAATTTTAATCGGAAAAAGCGGTTGTTTCTGCACTCGCCCCCCGGTCTGCTGACAAGTTGGACAGGACTTTACGAAGTCCTTTATAGTATTTCCCATCCCCTGCCACCAATATTTAGCGGCTATTCGTTGGTAAGTTCCTTCGAAACCAAAATGTCCAGATAGTATGTTGCTGTGCATATAAGTTAATATTGCTTCGATCTCATTTATTTTTAGTACTTTGAGAGAGTGTGTCGGTTCCTTCCGTCGGTTGATTTTGAATAGGTTGTGATCCTTTACTAAAAAGTGTTTTGATTGTTGATTTAATTTTTCCTTTTGCTCGGGTGAATATCCTACGGGATATCGTTCGGTTTCCAGATATTGAAGTATCGTTTGGTAAGTTTCTGGTTCCATTTTAATTATTATTATTTCAGTCTAATTGGCATTGTGTTTTCCGTAGTGTTGTAGTGTTTGATATTGGCTGAAGGTCGACGAAGCTATTGTCGTTCGTACATCCGAGAGAGGGTATCTGCATTTTGATTTGCTTTTCCCTTACGATAGGTAACTGTAAACTTATATTCCATTAACTCCATAACCCATCTAGCTACTCGTGGTCCAGGATTTTTTTGCTTATGGAAGAGCCATCTTAAGGCATTATGATCGGTGACGATTTCGAAGAGAGGTCCTAGCAAGTAATGTCGGAACTGTCGTACGGCCCAAATAACAGCCAAAGATTCCTTTTCTGTAGTGCTATAGCGTTTCTCGGCTGGTTTCAGGGAGGCACTAGCGTAGGAAACAACTCGTTCTCTTCCTTGATCGTCTTTTTGGGCTAATACGGCGCCTAATCCGACGTTTGATGCGTCCGTATATAGGTAGAATTTTTTTGTGAAGTCGGGGTAAATTAGAATTGGGGCAGTGGTAAGTTGTTGTTTGAGTTCGTTGAAGGCTCGTTCCTGATCCGTTGTCCAGACAAAGGTAATATCGTTCTTTAATAATTTGAATAGGGGGGCTGCGACTTGGGAGAAACCCTTGACGAACTTTCTATAATATCCGGCGAGTCCAAGGAATGATCGAAGTTGTTTAACCGTTCGTGGTTGGGGGAAGTCTTTCACTTTGTCGACGGTAGTTGGATCCGGAGATATTCCTTTTTCGTTGATGATATGTCCGAGAAAAGGTAATTCACTTCTTATGAAATTACATTTTTCTCGGTTCAATTTTAATCCGGCGTTTCTAATTTTCTGTAGAACTTTTCGCAGATGTTCCAGATGCTCTTCGAAATTAATCGAGTAGACATTGATGTCGTCGATATATACCATGGCGTGCTTCCAATTATCTTCGGCTAACATGGTATCCATTGCGCGTTGGAAGGTAGCCGGTCCATTACATAATCCGAAGGGAAGAACATTAAATTCGAACAATCCGTCTCTTGAAATAAAGGCGGTTGCTGCTTTGCTTGATTCTTCCATGGGGATCTGCCAGTAGCCCATAGACAAGTCCATCGAGGAGAACCACTTGGCTTCTCCGATGCTGTCAAGCATCTCGTCTATTCGTGGGAGGGGGTAAGCGTCTTTCCTAGTCACTCCGTTTAGTTTTCTATAATCTACGCATAATCTCTTCTTCCCGTTTTTCTTTGTAGCCACCACGATCGGTGATGACCAAGGGCTGTTCGATCGTCGAATAATTCCAGCCTCGAACATTTTTTGGATTTCATCGTGGATGAATTCCTGATCGGGTAGAGTTGCTCTGTACATTCGTTGTCGGATTGGGGCCGCTTTTCCGGTTTCGATAATATGTCGAACTAGGTTGGTTCCTTGAAGTTGACTGAAATCGGTAGCGAAGAGGTCTTGGAATTCGTCTAGTAGGTGATCTAATCGTTCTTTCTGACTTGGGATAATTGCTCGTAGTTTGGGTGGTAATGGCTCCTCGTCTTTATTCAGTAAATACGCTCCCATAATCTCCTGGTCGGTGGATCCGAATCCATTAATTCCTCGACTACTGTTATCAAGTTCTTCTCGCGTGTCTACTGGCTGAAGTCCTTCAATGGGTGCTAATTGTAGGAACACGGCCTGCGCGATTCGATCTCTCGGTAGAATGGTATATGATTGTTCAGAGGTGTTAGTCAAAATAACACCTATGTTTCCAATATAGCCGGCATCAATTGTCCCTCCCTTCACCTCGATTCCTTTTCTTGCCAGGGAAGATCGAGACAAGATCTGACAGACAGTTCCCTCAGGGACTTCAAAGGCGATTTTAAGATCAATTATGATCGTTTGGTTGGACTCAATAACTAAACTTTCTCTTCCGGGGTAATATAAGTCATATCCAGCATCTCGTCGGTGCATTCGTTGGGGCAACTTTCCTTGTTCTCCATCGTTATAAACTTTAATAAGGTAATTCGCATTTTTAATTGATAAACTAGTCTTGGGTGTTCTTGTCGTCGCTTCGTCCTTATTAATATATTCTTTGAAAATTCTTTTACAGGTGTCGTTCCTGTTATTAGACTCCCCGTCGAACTTTAATTCCTGGGTTTTCCTCTCGGCGGTCCTAGGGAAGCCGAAGATTTCCTCTTGGGCTTCTTCGTACGTTTTTTGATAATGAACAAAACAGGTCTGTGCACTTGCCACTTCAACTTGTTTTTGTATTTCTCCAGTTTCGTTCCTTCCACTAATAACCTTCCTTCTTTTCTTGTCATATTCCTCTACAAATGATGGTTCTTCAATAATCTGTGATGGCCGTTCGCAGTCATCACAGAAATCGCCATCGCAAGGTATGAGACACCCGCCGCATAATTTAACATTAATATATTCCAGTCTTGCTAATTGTATTCGTCTTTTTGGCGTAATCTGTTGGTAGATGGTCTGGAAGATTTCCGTGGCAGAGGCCTCTTCATCTCCTCCATACTCGATAATCTCTAGTTCATGTTCCACGTCGTATTCTTGAATGTATCGTGACAAGATGGCCTTACCAATCTCGTTGCAGGCAGCGTAGACTTCAAGAAGCATTTCTCGATCTCGTAATTTTCGGATGGTACCTTTGTTCTTCTGCCAACCTCCTCGATCAAACCAGTAAACGCACTGGTGAAGGTAGTCGCAGAAATATCTCTTTTCATATTGTCCTGTGATATACATTTCTCTGGCTTCGTTTCGTTCTCCACAATAAGCGCAGGCGGGTAGATTTAATCGCTGTGTCTGGTGACAGGAGTCGCAGGCTACGGCCTTCGTTCCGTTTCCGCGATGATACGTTGCGGTGTAATATCTATCGACAAACATCCGACACTCGGGACATCGGTGGATTTGTTCAGTTGGAGTTATCTTTTGTTCCGCTTGCTCATTAGTCGTGAATTTCTCTTTTACTCGCCTGGTAATAAAATATTCGTGTTCTACTTCCGCCGCCCAATCGCTGGTGGATTTATTTTCGGCACCATAGGGTTTGTATCGCTTGATCGCAACCCATTCACTCAGTTCGTCAAGGCATTGTCGACATTCTTGATTCCCAGAGTGAAGTTTCTTTCCACACCAACACTGTTTGTTCGGTCCTCTCCAATCAAGTTCCCACTGTTGTCTCGGCTGACAGGCCCATCGAAATTTAGTATCGAGCCGTCGAAATTGTTCCCAAGCACATTTCTTGTGCCGGATTTTCATTCCTTCCTGGTAAGCCTGAATGTGATTGATAGTTCTGACGCTACGAATGACTTTTAATGGTATGCCATTAAAATCAATCTGGTGCAGCTCTCGACGGATGGTTTCGACCGGGGTCCATGTTTCTTCCGTGATGATTTCAATACTATCATCGTCAAACTGAACCCTTTTTATTCTCGGCATGACGGTAGTCCAGGCATCGTTATCTTGCGTCCACATCAGGTATGTTTGTTTTTCCAAGTTTTGCTCTTCGTATTCTTCATCTTCGGTTGATTCATCTTCTGACTCCTCCGATTCTTCAGTGTCTTCCTCCGAGTCACCGTCTGGGAAGGTGCTTCGTTGGCCATGAATAAACTTAATCGAGATCTTTCCCCTCTGTTTCTCCCATTCGAAGGTAAGCAATCCCCGTTTGATATCGATGTTGGCCTGGATCTTATTCAAGAAATCCATTCCAACCACTATGGCGTAAGTTTTTGCCTCGGTGACGTCCACCTCGGTAGGGATTACGATCCCATCGATGACAATTTCTAGGTTGTCAATTGCTCCTAGCGGCTGTTTGGAATTTCCATTTATATCAGTCATCGAAACGTTGGATTTTCGTTGGATTTTTATCCCTTGACTCTGTAGGAAGTAATGGCTGGCCACACAACCGGAAGCACCAGTATCTATTATTAGGTCGATCATGGTTCTACCGACTCGGGCTTCACACCAAGCGGATGTCGTCTTGAGCTTTTGAGTCACCAATCCAGTTTTCTTTTTGGTGGTTCGTTTGATCGGTGGTTTTCTCATTCCTTTAGACATCTTTATTCTTTGGGCAGGTGACGTTTCGATTAGTTGTGCAATAGTAATATTTGCTTTTAGGTTGGTTAAATCATCCACGATATCGTAGGGCGTCGCTTTGGATGCTAGTACTGGTAGGACAGCCTTTCCCTTTTTTTTTTTTAATCTTCTTTTTTCATTTATCGTTTCTTCTTCTAATGATTTCATCGGTTCGGCTTCTTCCATTTCACCATCCTCCTCGATCCCATCATTTCCCTCGATAATATTCGGTTCGCCTTCCTTGTGAGTGCTCCGTGTAGCATGTTTCTTACCCATTGGGTTATATCGTTCGGCGGTTCGGGGTTTCTTCTCACCAGCTAGGATTTCGTGTGTAGCTAAAAGGGAGTTTCTGTCGGTTGAATCCACATCTTTTCCTTTTAATGCATTGGTTAGTTCTTCGATTTGCATTATTAACGCAGTATTTCCATTATTAGTAATCGATGATCCTTTGTTAATTGATCGACTATCTAAATTTGGACGTCCATTGTTTTGCGACTGAATTCGATTATTATCGTTTCGTGGGTAAGTGACATTGTTTCGTCCAGTATTATTAAATGTTCGTGGCTGTGTACAGTTTATACTAATATGTCCTTCTTCATTACAATTATAACATACAATTGCTCGCCCATTATTTGGTCGATTCCATCCGTTATTATTATTCCGTGTTGAATATTGTGATTTTGGAGGGGTTTCTAATTGTTCTAACCTACGGGTCAGACTTCGAATCGTATCCACCAACTCGTTCATCGGCTCTTTTACGTTACTATTAGATTGGTGATAAGTACGGACATTGGTATCCAACTCGGCTTCCTCCGCTTTCTTTGCTACCTCAATTGAATTTTGCAAAGTTCCGTCGGCGTTTATTTTTACCCACTTTCTTAATTCTGGTTTGAGTCCTCGGCGGTATATTCTAACCCGGTTGTCGACGTGAATTTGATTATCCGGATCTGCCTTTCGCAACAACTCGTAGAACTTGTCGGTGTACTCGTCGACGGTTCCAGTTTGTTGAAGTTCTTCCAATTCATCCTTCCAACGATCCACCTTTTGTCCGGTCCTAAACTTGAGCGTGAACCGATACTTAAAGTTATGTTCGTCGTTTGCCTGATTGGTCCAGTCGATCAAATTCAACGCGTCGTTCGTTGCCCGTTCGTCAAACCACAACGCAGCGGTTCCTTCTAAATAACCCCGGACTACCTGGATCTTTCTTTCGTCGGTGAGTCCGTTAGCCGTAGCTGCCACCTCGAAGTCTCGTAACCAAGTTACTGGATCCTGGTCGCCTCCGCGAAACTTCCTGATAGTGATAATCATCTTCTCCTGGGCTCTTCCATTTTGTGCGTTTAGTGCCTGGGTCAAATTGTTTACCGCGGCTAAAACAGCATCGACGTTCGCCATTTCTTCTGGTTCTGGTGTAGGGTTTGGAGTTGGAGAAGGGGTTCTTACTATTGGAGGATCTTCGGGTGTTGGATATTGTGGGAGAGGTATTCTTTGCTCCTCGTCAAGGTCGTAATCTGTTAGTCGATTTTCTTCTTCGCTTGATTCGCGAGTTTCGGAGTAGTATTCTTCGGTACTTTCGCCTTCTTGTTCTTCTAATTCGGGGGTGATACTCTTGAATCCTCTTGTGTCGGCAAACTGGTGTAATGTCGCGACAACGATTCGGGTTTGATCCGGTATTAGTAAATACTCTCGGAATAGAATAGTGTTAAGTAATCGGACTATTCTTTGACGTACTCGTGCCGGGTGTGCTTCTTCGAGATTGATTGCCTCTAATTCTTGAAAGAATTGGTAGGTAATTGATGTATAGCTACAGGCGCCTAGTGTTCCAATCCAAGTTAGAAATCGGTGAAAAGGCCAATTATGTGTTCTGGGAGGGGGATGACAATAACCGCAATAAGGTTCGACAGTTCTTTGCCCTTGATCCTGGTGTTTTTCGAAATGTTCGTTTGCAAGTGTTCCAGTAAAGGTATAATACTCATTCATATACTGAATGTTACTTTTTAGGGGCTATAAACTATTATTCCACAGAGGGGGCACCAAAATGTTGTGTCTATTCGGAAGTTTGTTTAATTAGCGAAAAAGATCACAACGCATCGTTTATGAGCTAAACTGAATGATC